CGGGGAACTCTGCAAAAAACGCATCTTCGCACGGGCAGCCCGTGCGTTGGCCATTTATTCAAATTGTTTTTTTTTTTTTTTTTTGTTTTGCCAGGAGGGGGTAAAAGAGCAGTTATATACAAGTTTCGAGAAAAAAACATTTTGGAGGTCCACCGGGGGATCAGGGTGACCTTGAAGCGTCGAATCTCCCAGTGGGAAAGCCCAATCGATGTGCGGCTTTTTATTTGCCTTAATTGTATTCTGGTACTGATGTTTATGAGAAAATTTTGTTTGGCATTCACATGCTTCAATCTACCCATAAGAAGCCATCGATAGTTTTTCTACTGCAAGTGTTTGCTAAGCTAGACACACGTCTTTCTTGTAGGGATTGGAAAATGAATGGGTTTTTTGTGTTTGCAGTGATAGCGCTCGATTTGGACCCAATTCGATTGCGTTGTGCGAGGCGAAATGCTGAAATTTATGGTGTCGCTGATCGTATCAATTTCATGTGCATCGATTTCTTTCATTTTTGCAAGATGGAGAATGACAAAGTGAAGTCTTTGTGGAATCATTCATTGGATTCTCGGCAACGACCAAAGAATTCGAAAAAGAAACTTGTGAATAATTTTGAAAAAGCGGTCGAAGTGGGCGAAGAAGTTGGAAATAAGAAGTTGGAAATTGAAGAAGAGGAAAACGCACTGGTTAAAGAAGAGCCAGATGATGAAGACGAACTTTCAGTTGCGGCGCATAGTTGCGGTTACGTACCTCGCTTTGATGCAGTTTTTCTTAGTCCGCCATGGGGTGGCCCGGCGTATCGCGATGCAAAGGTAACGTTGAAGTCATAATCTGAAGTGTGGAATTTTAGTATAGTTCTCCAATATTTATTTTGTGTCGATTTCTCGAAATGTTGGACTTTTGCATAATTTGAGGATTACAGACTAACACCTTTTAAAGGAATATTTTAATATCGCTTATCCTTTTTTTATGCTGGTTTTTATCGTTTTGTAGTTTCTGTGTCTTGATTCATATCTCCGTACAAGCGTAATTTGACCCTTTACATAGAACCGGCGACGTACTCAGCTTTGGCATGGACATATGGATCAAACTCAAAAAAGTCCGTTCACCATGCAGCCTAAAAAAATAGTGGTCCTGAATATTTGCAGGTGTTCAGTTTGCGGGATATGGAACCGGAAGGACATCGAATTTTTCGTGTTGCTCGTAGGCTAACCCATAACATTGCTTATTATCTTCCAAGGCGAACAAATACACGGGAGGTTTGGTTTTCATTAGAAAAAAAGAAAAAAAAAA